CAAGCAAACTCCTTCTTGTTAAAAACTTGTTTCCATCCTTACTCATGGATTGAAGATATCCTCAAACAAAGCAACTTGTGTTTTACCTGCTCTCTGTGCGATATTATGCATTTTATATTCTGAATCTATGACAAATCTGTCTTTGAGTTGTTTTCCTTCTCAGGTACTTTGAAACCGATCTGTGTCGATTAAGCTGGCAGATCATCCCTATTTTAACAGATCCAAAGGTGCCGCAGATACCTTTCCCAAACAAGATTCAGACAAAGAAAAAGTAGTAATGGGAGACAATAATGAAGAAGTCAGTCTCACCGACGTTGTGGTGGATCAACCTACTGTAGCGGACAGAACGAATTAATTATGTCATTAATGAATAGATACAGAAATGAGGGTGGAGATGTAAAGGAGACGGAATCCGCTCCCACAAGGTTTTGCTGCTAACGCTGTTGATGGGAGACCTCCTTTCTACCTCCCGTCTTCAAACATGGATCCAGTTAAGAATCTGCCATCTACTCCTGCCGAAAACCCCTCTGTCATAGACTTGACTACACAAAACCCTCAGTATTCTTCCACATCCTACCATACTCGGCCACGTCCTCAAAATAAATATTCCCGAATACCACCTTATCCTCAAAATACTCAACATCAAACCGTTCCACCACTGCATAACCAGAATAAAAGCCAAAAGCAAAATGCATTCCACCCTCAAACTCCTCACCACCACCATTTAAATCAAAATACCAATCCTCAGACTTATCCATAAAACTACCAAACCACCCAGAATGCCCAAAGTCCTTTCGTAGCCCCACCCCTACCTAAAAGAACAACTTTCCAGATTCCCGTCCCGACTGAGTACGATGTGCAGGTTTTGAGCTGGACCATTACGAGGAATAGGAAAGAGAATTGAGGGCAAATGAAGAGGCAAAGTGGATATAAAAGAAGAGATCAGGAAAGCCATGAAGGAGTTCTAATGCATCCCTGACATCGCTGGTCTAAACTATGAGAATTTGTGCATTCATCCGAATCAGGAAGGGTTCAAGGTGCCTAAATTTGACACTTTCGGAGGATTAGGGAATCCTATGGCCCATTTGAGATCCTACTGCGACCAGCTTGTCGGAGTTGGTAGGGATGAAGCCTTGATGATGCAGCTCTTTAGCCGAAGCCTATGCGGGGGGCTCTAGAATGGTTCACCTCCCATGAAACCAGGCAATGTCCCAGTTGGAACGCCCTGTCCAAGGATTTTATTGATAGGTTTTCTTCCAACGTAGAAATCGTTCCCGATCGATACTCTTTAAAAAAGATGAAGCAAAAATATACTGAAAGCTATAGAAAGTTCGCCTACAAGTGGAGAAAAGAAGAGGCTAGGGTAAGGCCACCTATGTCCGAGAAAGAAATAGTGGAAGTATTTGAAAGGGTGCAAGAGCCCGAATATTATGATAGAATCATGTTGCTCGTGGGAGAAAAATTTGCTGAGATAGTCAAGATTGGTGTGACTATTGAAAATGAGTTAGAAAACAGGGAAAATAGCCCGTGTTGCCGCGTCGCCCGAATCGTCGGGACCGTTGAAGAAGAAGAGAGAGGATATTGATGTTGTCTCTTATGAGGGGAGGAATACCTCCAGAAGATCATCATCCTCCCAAGGTCGTCCTCGACCTTCTCAAAACTTCTACCAGGCATGCTATACGCAAGCTAGTCATCCAAATAACCCTCCTCTAGTTTACCAAAATGCTACCCCTACCTACCAAAATACCCCTCTAAGTTACCAAAAATCACCTTCTGTGTACCAAAGTCCTCCTCTACTTTACCAAACTCCATCACCGGTCTACCAAAATGTTACTCCCAACTGTGCCAATGTGCAGTCAAGCTACAAGAACCCTCTCCAGTCTATCAAGTCCAAGCTCCTATATACCAAAATGCCCCCACAAACTACCAAGCTCCATCACCAAATTACTAAACAAATCCATATCCCAGAAGCCAAGCTTTCCGTCCAAATACAAGAAGTTATCAACAAGTGCCTCCTCTTCAACAAGGCAGTTATGATATTCCTCGACCCAGATTCGAGAAGAATCCTCCTAGGAATTTTACCACAATCACCAAAATCTGAATAAATTTGTACGAGCGACTAGCTGCGGCCGGACATATCCACCCGGTGGATCCCAAGCTGGTTGATACTAGTTCCAAATTCTACAGGCCCGATCAAAGGTGTGCGTATAACTCCAACAGTGTTGGACATGATACCAAGACTGCGTCAACCTCAAGCACAAGATTCAAGATCTGATCAACCAAGAGGTGGTCTCTCTTCAAGCAGCCCGCCTAATGTCAATACCAACCCTTTGCCGAATCATGGAGGCGTCAATATCAACATGATAGAGACGGATGATGATTAGTTTGTGACTAAGGTGATAACTCCAGTTATTCATGAATATTTAGAAAGTTTTGTGGTCTCATTGAGCGTCAAGGAGAAAAAAACTTCATGATCCTGACACCCGCAAAGTCTGTTGCCTTGGTGCCATCATAAACTCTTGTTAGACCAAAATTTGTGATTGAAACTGCTGCCGCTCAGGGTATGACCCGATCTGGAAAATGTTTTACTCTTGAAGAGTTGGCTTCTGGAGGACAGAATAAGGATCAAGGGAAAAGGCCGATCAGTGAGGGCGAAGAGAAGGAAGTCTAGAGGAAGATGCAGCCAAATGATTATTCGATTGTTAATCATTTGGAGAAGACCCCAGCCTAGATTTTTGTGTGGGCCTTGCTGATGAGCTTTTAATTGCACATACAGGCTTTGATGAAGGATCTAGATGATACGTACGTGCTCGTCGGCACAAGCAGTGATAATGTAACGCTGATTAACCAAGTTATCCAAGGGCATCAGATTAGTTTCTGCAATGACAAGTTGCCTTCTGAAGGGAGGTCACACAACAAGGCGTTGCACATCACTGTCGTATGTCGCGAAAAGGTCATAAATCGCATTTTGGTGGATGATGGATCTGCTCTAAGCATTTGCACATTGTCGACATGGAGGCAATTAAGGTTTGACTTGGGAAAGCTGTAAAAAACTAAGTCAATGTAAGAGCCTTCGACGAAGTACAAAAAGACACGTTGGGAGCGGTGAATCTGATCATCCAAATGGGTCCGGTAGAATTCAGTGCACAGTTCAAAGTCTTGGACATCGATACCACCTATAACCTTCTTGTGGGAAGGCCATTCATACATATGGATGAAGTTGTGCCTTCTACTCTTCACCAAATGATGAAGCTCATTTGGAAATACGAAGAACTAGTTATTCACGGTGAAGGGAGTCATTCCAGTTGACAGAAGCCCATTATTGATGAAGTTTTGTGAGATACTGATTACGACACGGTGGAGCTGGTAAATGCCTCTGGTGACGACTTGGACCCACAACCTCCTATGCCTGTCATGTACAATATGATTGCCACTGTGATGTTATAGAATGGGTTCGAACAAGGTTTCAGATTAGGAAGGAATTCCCAAGGGATTATTGAGCCTATTCCGATCCCCATCAAAGGAGCTAGATATAGTTTAGGGTACATCCCCATGGATGATGAGATGAAGATGAAGAAGAGCAATGATCAAGCGTTAGCTAAACCGATCCCACATCTGTATCAATCATTTCCAGTCCGAGAGTACGCCGAGCATGACGACCTTGGGGAAGGAATCTGTGGCCTTTTAAAATAGATCGATGCCATCATAGAAGAAGAGGTCGAGCTAGCTGGCATCCGTGACGCTAAGCCCGGGGATATGTTGCAGAATTGGACCTCCAAGCCGATCCTGATTCCACGAAATCCTTGGTAGAAGGGCATCATTTATACATATTTAATGGGTGGTAGTCCGAAAGAGGTCCGAGACCCATTATTTTACTTCATGGAACTTTTAAATTTTCTTTTGATGATTTAAAAAGGCAACATGGCCCTATCCATGGACAAAGTTTGCGCTTTTTTTCCAATTCAATTGAAAGCCTCCTTTATAGAAAATTTGCTAAATTATTTATTTGCTATATTCTACTTTCCTAACTTTATCTATTTATGGTTTTAGTAATATAAGTTTTAAACTTGCCAATGTCATGTCATGTAACAAGACGAACGATCAGGATGAGGCAGGTGATGATGATGTTGTTGAATATGAAGAAGAAAATGAGGCACCGCAATATGTGGTAGAAGAGTATCTACAGTTTGAAAATCAGCATAAGCCGAATATAGAGGAAACTAAAACCGTAAATCTGGGAAACCAAGAGTGTGTCAAAGAGGTCAAAATTAGCATTCACTTGAATGAAGATCAAAGAAAGGGCTTAATTCATTTACTCACTAAGTATATTGATGTGTTCATCTGGGAAGTCAGCGACATGCTAGGGCTAAGTACCAATGTTGTGTCTCACAAATTATCAATTAATCCAGGGTTCAATACGGTGAAACAAAAGGCTTGAAATTCGAGCCTGAATTGAGTTTAAAGATCAAAAAAGAGATCACCAAGCAAATTGCGTCTCGATTAGTGGAAATGACGCAATACCCGACTTGGTTGGAAAATGTTGTTCTGATCGACAAAAAAGACAGGAAAATCAGAATTTGTGTCGACTATAGAGACCTCAACAAAGCCAGCCCTAAGGATAATTTTTTGTTTCCAAACATTCATATATTAATCGATAATTGTACTAAGCATGAAATGCAATCATTTGTGTATTGTTACGTAGGTTATCAGCAGATTCTGATGGACGAAGAAGATGCAGAAAAGATAACTTTCATCACGCCCGGGGGTGTGTATCATTACAAAGTGATGTCGTTTGGTCTCAAATTTTCTGGCCCTAATTATATGAGGTCTATGTCGACTATATTTCATGATATTATTTATAAGAAGATCGAGGTGTATGTGGATGACATCATAATCAAGTCCCACGAGAGTTCAGACCACCTGACGCACTTGAAGAAATTTTTGACCGTCTGCGTCGGTATAACTTGAAATTAAATCCCACCAAATGCGCTTTTGGAGTTATGGCCGGAAAGTTATTGGGATTCATAGTCAGTCGAAGGGGTATTGAGCTCGACCCTTCAAGGATCAAGTTGATTCAAGAGTTACCTCCCCCAAAGACGAAGAAAGAAGTGATGAGTTTCTTAGGGAGGTTGAACTACATCAGTCAATTCATAGCTCAATCAATTGTGGAATGTGAGCCTATATTCAATCTATTGAAGAAGGATGCTTTGACAAAGTGGACTGACGAATGTCAGACTGCTTTCGATGCTATCAAGAACTATTTTTCCAATCCACCGATATTGGTTCCTCCGCGAGAAAAGAGTCCATTGTTGTTGTACTTTTCCATATCAGATAACACATTTGGATGTGTGCTATGGGAAACATGACAAAACAGGGAAGAAGGAGCAAGCCATTTATTATATAAGCAAGAAGTTCACGTCATATGAGTCTCGTTATACTTTTTTGGAGAGAACGTGCTTTTCTTTGACTTGGATCACTTAGAAGCTGAGACATTATTTGTCTTCTTATATGACATATCTAATTTCAAGGATGGACCCGTTGAAGTATATTTTCCAGATGGCAATGCCGACTGGAAAGTTAACTAAATGGAAAATGTTGTTAAGTGAATTCGATATTGTGTATGTGACTCAGAAGGCGATAAAGTTACAGGTCTTGGCTTATCATCTTACAGAAAATCCCTTCGATGAAGATTATGAACCTCTTAAGACTTATTTTCACGATGAAGAATTATTGTTTGTGGGTGAAGATATTTCTGAAATATATCCTGGCTGGATATTATTCCTTGATGGAACATCAAATAACTAAGAAAAAGGTATCAGAGCGGTCTTAGTTTCAGAATCTGGTCAAGACTATCTCATGGCGGGTAAGCTCCGATTTAATTGCACGAACAACATAGCTAAGTATGAAGCATATATTCTTGGACTGAAAATGTCGATCGACATGAATGTCCACGAGTTGTTAGTTATTGGAGAATCAGATTTATTAATTCATCAGGTTCAAGGAAAATGGGCTGTGAAGATCAGGAAGATTATATCATACATGCAGTTTATACAGAAGTTGTGCAAAAGATTTTGTAAGATCGAGTTCATACATACTCCAAAAATACAAAATGAGTTGGCCGATGCTCTTTCCACCATCACTTCAATGATTAAATATCCAGATACTGATTATATCGATCCTCTGGATATAGAGATGAAGAAACAACCAGTCCATTGTTCACATGTTGAAGCAGAACCAGATGGTTTGCCATGGTATTTTGATATAAATAAGTATTTAGGAGAAAACGATAGGAGGACTCTACATCCAACCAGAAGAAAACGATACGTCGTATGGCTCTCAATTTCTTTCTAAGTGGAGAAATTCTTTATAGGAGGACTCTAGATTTGGGTCTTCTCAGATGTGTCGATGCTGGTGAAGCTACGAAACTTATTGAATAGATACATGCTGGAGTTTGTGGCACACATATGAATGGACACACTTTGGCAAGGAAGATGTTGCGAGCCAGTTATTTTTGGATGACTATAGAGAATGATTGTTGGAAGTTTGTTAAAAATATGTCATGATGTTAAGTGCATGGTAATTTGATCCGAGTGCCGCCTCACGAGCTTAATACTATGATTTCACCTTGGCATTTTGTACCTTGGAGCATGGATGTCATCGGACCGATAGAATAGCCGCTTCTAATGGACACAAATTTATTCTGGTTTCCATCGACTACTTCACCAAGTGGGTGGAAGCAGCTTCTTATAAGTCGGTAACCAAGAAAGTTGTAGCTGATTTTGTCCGCAACAATCTGATATGCTGGTTTGGAGTACCAGAATCAATCATTACTGATAATGGTGAAAATCTTAATAGCCACTTGATGAGATACATATGTGAGCAGTATAAGATTACTCACCAAAACTCAACCACTTATCGTCCTCAAATGAATGGAGTTCAAGAGGCTGCCAATAAGAATATCAAGAAGACTCTGAGGAAAATGATTGACAATCACAGAGGTTGGCATGAGATGTTGTCATATGTTTTGTTGGGTTATCGAACGAGTGTCAGAACATCGATTGGAACTACTTCATATTTGCTGGTGTATGGAACAGAAGTAGTCATACCTGCTGAAGTCAAGATACCATCTTTGAGGATCATACAAGAATCTAAGTTGAGTAATATTGAATGGGCAACAAGCGGATTGACCAATTGACATTTATTTACGAGAAGAGAATGGTTGCTATTTGTCATGGTCAACTATACCGATAGAGAATGATTCGCGCTTTCCACAAGAGAGTAAGGGCTAGAATTTTTGTAATTGGTCAGTTGGTCATTAAGCACATTTTTCCTCACTAATATGAGTATAAAGGAAAATTCGCAACAAATTGGTAAGGACCTTACATGGTCCGCAAAGTACTATCTGGAGGTGCTTTGGTCCTTCCGGAGATGGATGGCACTGCATGGACAAAGCCGACCAACTCAGATGCTGTCAAGAGATATTACGTGTGAAGTCAGTTTGTATTTCTATCATTTCCCTATAATCGTTCAATTTTCTTGTAATTGCTTTATTTAAACCTTATCCCTCTTTGTAATGAATTGCGTCTAACCTGAATTCTCAAGAATGAGATACGTAGGCGGCCTATGTCGGCCTCGGTCACCCCATTTATCTCTTTAATATTTCTTTGTATTTGAACTACGTTCGACCTTAATTCTCAAGAATGAGATATGTAGGAGGCCTATTGTTGTCCTCGGTCGATTTATTTTTGTAAATTTCTTATTGGTGTTAGCCTTGAGGGGGAACTACGTTTGACCCGATTCCTGTCTCAACAGGATACGTAGGCTCCACAAAGGTTCGGTCATACCTCTCATAAGATTTCTATTTTTCTCTTTACAATAGAAACTGATACAGAATTTTTGAGAGGGACTCAAAAATTCTCAAGAAGAATATTTTTCCTCAACAAGCCAAGACTGAAGATATTTTGAGATTTTCAACCGGGACAGAATTTTTGAGAGGATCTCAAAAATTCTGTGATTTACTCACCAACAGTCAAGGATAAGCCAAGACAGTTATCTGGGACAGAATTTTTTAGGATGACCTCAAAGTTTCAACATGGATTTAGTGACAGTCTAGATTGACTTTGAATACTCCCCATCAAATAATCAGATATACCTCCAAGCATCAGACTCAAAGAAGCTTACTAAGTCAGACGTGACATGACACTTGGCAATAACCTTTTTCTCAAAGTACTTTTTTCAAAAATTTATTTTTCTTAAAATTTTCCCTTTGGTGTTTCATTTGTTTTGGCATAAAATATTTTTCGTCTTGCCTACCAAGAGTCGAGATATCGTTAAAATCAACCGAAGATAGCAGGACAGGGAGTAGACAACTAAAGAATCGATACAGATCAATTCATTTTAAAACTAATGATTTTTCAGTGGAAGCAGGTTTATAGTTTTGCTCTGAAATTGCCAAATTTTCTCCGATCGACGATATAGAGAAGTCAAGGGGGGAAAAGCTCTCCCTAAATTTATGATTTTCCTGTGGATGCAGGAATAATATTATATCATTTATATCGAGGGTGAATCAAGCGAAAATCTCAAGAAAGAGTATACGGTTCTCGCAAAAGACGTCATCTGCTTCAGATTATCATATATGATATTATTACTACTTTGAACGGTCATTTTATTAGTATTGTCGTTTGAAACGATACTCTACCTGGAGGGTCAGTTTATTTCTATTATCGATTGAGATGATATACATCGAGGGCAATTTTAGTTTTATTATCAATTAAGACGATATATTTATCCAGATAGCACCCAGAAGATAACTATGTTGCTCGATTGAAGCACTATCTTCATTTGGTACCAAGGATGGCATCGCGAGTTAATATTCACACATAGCGGGAAGATATTCATACACCACGAAAAATCACACATGGCAGAAAAATATTCATGCCCCACATAAAATCATGCATCGCAGAAGATCATGCATCACGAGTTAATATTCATGCATCGCGGAAGATCAAGCATCGCAAGTTAATATCCATGCATCGCTGAATCATGCATCGCGGAAAGATATTCATACACCGCAAAAAATCACACACCGCAGAAAAATATTCATGCCCCACAGAAAATCATGCATCGGAGAAGATCATGCATCGCGAGTTAATATTCACGCATAGCGGGAAGATATTCATGCCCCGCAAGAAATCACTCATCGCAGGAAGATATTTATGCCCCGCAAAAGATCATGCATCACGAGCCAGTATTCGTGCATCGCGGAAGATCATGCATTGCGAGTCAATATTCATGCATCGCGAGTCGATATTCATGCATCACGAAAAACCATGCATCGCAAGTCAATATTCATGCATCGCAAAAAATCATGCATGGTGAGTTAATATTCACGTATTGCAAGAAGATATTCATGCCCTGCAAGAAATCACACATCTTGAGAAAATATTCATGCCCCCCAAAAAATCATGCATCACGGAAGATCATGCATCGCTAGTAAATATTCATGCATCGCGGAAGATCATGCATCGTGAGTCAATATTCATGCATCATAAAAGATCATGCATCGGGAGTTAATATTTGCATCGCGGGAAGATATTCATGTCCCGCAGAAAATCATGCACTGCAGAGAAGGAAATTGTGCATCTCAAGAGAAGTATTCACCCATCGACTTCAACTGCGTCTTTATTTGGCAAGATTAGACGCCAAAAGAATCATTAGAGACGATATCAAGAGAAATATCAGTATTGCATCACCTTTCATTTATGTTGACATCAAATGAAGAATACATTGAATATTACATTGCAAACATAAGATATAAGATTTATTTGCTTTACGTCAAACCCAATCGAGTTGACATCAAATGGAGAGGAGAACAATTAAGTGTCAACACGGTAAAAGACACTGTCTCCTATTTCAATTGCATTTTTATGCTGATAAGTTTTATCTCAGTCTTTGTTGAGAACATCTGAAAGGATGAATTTTAAAAAAAAAACATATGCGAACGACATCAAAATGGATGCAGCACAATGTGCAACTTTTCTTAGCAGCAAATTGGGACATAGTACAAAGAGGGGTGTCAAACTCTTAGGACACAAGCATAGGAGCAACTTTCACCACAATCAAATCACACCCCTCTCAGAAGGCATATGGGTTTTTCTTTGATTTTTGTCAGTTTTGGTCTCGCATTCAAAAAATTTGGTATCTGCCGAAAGTAAGCTTCCAATCTGAGTGACGATACACCAAGAGCTTTGGAAATTATGTCTGTGTAAGTTCTTATCTTTGGATGTGAAGAGATCCACCTTCATGGCTAAAAGGTTTCAAGCCTCTTTTTCATACTCGACTTTATTTGACACTTATCCAGAACCAAAGTTTATCTGGCATAACAGATTTCCTTTTCCACCGACTGAGGCGAACTACAAACAGCTTGAATTTCTAAGCTATAAGGATATGTAGGAAAGCTCAATTTCAAAAACTTGGCTGTATTTAAACATTGGCTCTTAAATCTTATTCTCGAGCATCTCGGTCCTTCCATAATTCAGTATCAAGATGACTTTTGAATTCTTTAAAATCGTGTGTTAAATCTAGCTTATTGAACTACAAGTGGCATGATTTCTCATGTAACCTGAGATATGTAGGAAACCCAGGGTTCGGCCATAATTCTTAAAATCCCTACTGAATCCCTTTCCTAAAGATGGATTTGGGGTCGTTCAAAATTGGATCGGTCAATTTCATTCTCCTCGAATTTTTTGCATCAATCCGAGTAAAATGAGGGACAGTTGTTGACACCCAATTTTGCCCTCCTCGAT